TGCTGGAGAAATTGGGTTTCAACTTGGCAAAGATTAAAACTAGACCTATATCTCTCACCATGCACTAAACTAAAATCTAAATGGATTAAAGATCTAAATATTAAAACAGAAAGGCTAAACTGGGTGGAGCAAAGCTTAGGTAGAACTCTTGAAGCCATTGGTGTAGAAAAACATTTTATGAACAAAACCTTAGTTACCTGTGAACTAGCACAAACAATCAACAAATGGGATCTCTTCTTACTAAAAACTTCTGCACACAAAGAGAAACCACCAGCAGTATAAAGAGACAACCCACAATGTGGGAAAAAATTTTCACCAGCTGTCCCTCAGACAAAGGTCTACTATCTTGAATCTATAAAGAACTTAAAAAAGTCAAACCTTCCAAATTTAAAGACCCAATCAAAAAATGGACATCTGAAATGAACAGACATTTCTCAGAGGAAGAAGTAGAAATGGCAAATAAACATTTGAAAAAATGTTCAACATCTTTGGTCATTTGAGAGATGCAAATGAAAACAATGCTGAGTTTCTATCTCACCCCAGAAAGAATGGGTGCTAGCAAGAAATCAACCAATAACAAATGCTGTTGGGGCTGCAGGGAAAAATGAAAGCTGCTCCACTGCTGGTGGGAATGTAGACTGGTGTGACCACTGTGGAAATCAGTAAAGAGATACCTTAAAGTGCTAGGACTGGAAGTCCCATTTGACGCAGTTATTCCCCTGCTGGGTATCTTCCCCCCAAAATTAAAAGAATCATACAGCCATGATATATGTGCACCCATGTTCATAACAGCACAATTTGTAACAACTAAAACTTGGAAGCAGCCCAAGTGCCCATCAACCGGATACTGGATAAGGAAAATGTGGGTTTTTTTTTTTATAAAATAGAGTACTACTCAACCATAAAAATAAGAAATTAGAGACATTTATAGCTAAATGGATGCACACTGAGGCAATACTCTTAAGTGAAACAAATAGGACACACGTGTAATTATCGAGTAGTTTCTCTAGTGTGAGAAACTGAAAGTGTAAATGAGGACTAAAAGGTATAATAGATAATGTGAAATAGGAAGAAAAGGGGCAAAAGGGAAGGGCAAGTAGGAGGGTTAGGGGAAAGGAAAGAAGGAAAACAAATTAATATGAGAAAATGAAAAAATGGAAACAAAATCTTTGTAAATAGTGAGGGATGGAGGGGTTGAAGTGAGGGCAGGGGAATGGGGAAAAATAAGAACCAAGAGAGATTATATAAAGGTGCAAATTTCCAATAATGGATGTCATTATATTGTATACCTAAAATCTACCAATAAAATCAATTAAAATTAAAAATAAAAATAAATAAATATACAGAGTCTGCCAAAATGATATACACATTTCAGGAAAAAAAATAAGTATTTTTGGGGGGTACTGGGGATTGAACTTAGGATCTTGCGCTCATGGGACAGGCACAGTTCCACTGAGCTAAATCCCTGACCTGATGTATAAATATTTTAATACTAAATTTATTCAGACATCATGAAAATTCTATGTATTTGGATAAAGCAGTCAATTTAGGGTGAGCCAATATCTGGTGTATATTAAAGTATTTATACAAGTTTTTCTTTTCCTGAAGTGTGTATACATTTTGGGGAGATAGACAGATGATAGATAGATGATTAGATAGATAGATAGATAGATAGATTGATTGATTGTCAATTAAAATAAATTTTAAAGTAAAATACTTAAGCAACAATTTTAACCAAAGAAGTAAAAAATTTATATACTGAAATTTACAAAATATCATTGAAAACTATTAAATATGACCTAACTAAATAGAAAATCATCTCATGTTCATAAATTGGAAAACAATATTATAGTAGTAATGCGACCTGAACTAAAATATATATATTGAGCACAATCCCTATTTTAAAAATATCAGCTGGCTTTTGTGCAGGAATTGACAAGCTGGACCTAAAATTCATATGGAAATTCAATATACCCAAAATAGCCCAATAGTTTTGAGAAAAAAGGACTCACGATGCTAGTCAACACAGTGTGGTATTGGCATAGGAATAAACATACAAATCAAGGGAATAGAATCAAGAGCCCAGATAATAAACCAATACTTTATGGATGATTGATTTTCAACAAGAGTACCAAAGATCATTCGATGAGGGAAAAACAATAGGCTTTTCAATAAATAATACATAACAACTGGATATCCACGTGCAAAAGGATGAATTTGGACCTCTACTTATACCATATAAAAGCTAATTCAAAATGGTACAGACTCAAATATAATTCAAAATTATATGACTCAAAAACTATAAAATGCTTAGAAGAAAATATAGGGGTAAATCTTCATGTTTGAATTTTTCAATGTATTCTTGGCTATGCCATCAAAAGCAACAAAGAAAAAATAGGTAATTGAAACTTTGTGAGTATACCATCAAAATTAAATGCTTTCATACTTCAAACATTGCAAATCATATATCTGAAAAGGTTCTAGTATCCAGGGTATGTAAAAATCTTCAAAAATTTAACAAAAAAGAAACAATAATTAAAAGTAGATAAAAGATGTGAACAGAAATTTTTCCAAAAAGAAATATAAATAGATAATAAGTACATGAAAAGACACTTAACATCATCAGTCACTAGGGAAATGAAAATCAAAATCACAATGGGATATGGTGTCATACCCATGAGGATGGCTATAATAAAAAATGAACAATAAGTTTTGGAGAAGATGTTAGGAAGCTAGAACACATGTACCTAGCTAATGGGAATGTAAAGTGGCATAGTCACTTTGGAAAAAAGCCTGGCAGTTCCTCAAAAGGCTTTCTCATGGAGTTACCATTTGACCCATCAATCCTGCTCCTTGAAACAAACCCCAAAATAAAAATATATGCCCACATAGAAATATGTACAAAAATATTCATAGCAACAGCATTCATAATAGTCAAAATATGAATGGAAATCCTGTATCCATCAACTGACAAATGGATAAAAATACAATATATCTAATACCATAGAATACTATTCAGCTATGAAAATTAATAAAGTGCAGACACATACTACAGCATGGATAAACTTGAAAACACGATGTTGACTGAAAAATGGTATTCAAAAGGTTTGCTCTATGATTTCGTTTATATGATCCAGAATAGTAGTTCCCAGGGGCTAAAAGCAGAAGGAATAGTGACTGACTACTAATGGGTAGGGAGTTTATTTTTGTGCTGATGAAAATGTTCTGTAAGTGGATAGTGAGGATGATTATACAACCTTGTAAACCAAAAAGCACTGTTCATAAATTTTAGAGGATGGATTTTATGATATGTAAATTATAATCAATAAAAGTATAAATTTTTTTAAATGTAGAATCATAAGTCTAAGAACTGAGTAGAAATGTGGTTTTTTTTTTTTAAAAAAAAAGCTTTCTCTAGTCTAGCTAACAAGACCAAATGTTTACTTTGTCTTTATCACTTCCCCCAAGCATTTCTTTATTCCTTCCCTTGTGGCAGGACTATGTTTACCAGTTATCTCTCTTCTGAGTCAGAACACCGAATATTCCAGGCTTCAGACTTGTCAAGTTTTCTATATTGCACTGCCCTCATGTTATGTTTGTACAGAGAAAAACTCCTTCCTCCAAACATGGGTCAGACAAGACTCAATAAAACAGTCTAAGACAACAAAGAGAAAGGGAGGCATTGGGGCACAAGATATAAGTGGTCTCACTGGCACCAAATCCTTTCCTACAAATGTGAATACTCAATGAAAACTAGATATTTCCTCTCTTACTCTCTTCCATGATGATAGGATGGTAGGTTGGGGAAATATTTTGAAGTCTTGTAATTAGACTCTAATATAATATATTATCAATTCACAATCATAATCCTAAACTAAGCTGAGTAACAGCTGGTAAAGAATGATCTAGTCTGAACCTATATCTGTAACTTCTAATAATAGCTCTTGTTGTTAGGAACAATTTCTAACACTTAATCCAGTTTCCCCTGCTTCAAGTAAACTAAATTACCTCTAGTTATATCCCCATTGGAATTGATAAAAGATATTGCTGACTTATATTTAGAAAATAGTGCCTGGATGAAAACTCTAATGGTAGCTAGTATTTATTCAGAAGATGGCACATCATGAGCCTACAAGTATTTCAAATTCCTAAATATACAAAGTTGCTCCAAACTTGTCAAGGAACCCTAGGCAAAAGTACATAAATTACATGGAGAGAGAGTTAAAGAAGGAAAATTTATAGCCAATCCTTATGAGTTACGGAGGCCAGATAAATTGGCCAGACCACCACCATCTTCCACAAACTAACACCACAAGAGATTCGGGCAAATACTACTAAGAAGAAGAGACTCCTCTAAGCAGTAAAGCATTGGAAAACATATTAGCCATGTGCCATCACTGCCATCCATCCCAAGACACCTTACCTAACCGAAATTGATTGGAGACATTTCCACATGTTTGCATTATCTCCGGGCTATTCCATCCTAAGGGATATAAGGCACAGCCTGAGCTTATCAGCAGTCCTGGAAAGAAAAGCACAGACACAGGCATAAAAAAATAAAACAGGTCTTCACCAACAGAGCTAAGAGACAACCTACAGTGTGGGAAAAAGTTTTATCAGCTGTTCCTCAGACAAAGGACTATTCTCTAGAATATATAAAGAACTTTAAAAATCAGACCCCAAAAATGGAAAGACCCAATCCAAAAATGGGCATCTGAAATGAAAAGATATTTCTCAGACAAAGAAGTAAAAGCAGCAAATAAATATATGAAAAAATTTTCAACATCACTGGTCACTGGTCATTCGAGAGATGCAGATGAAAACAACACTGAAATTTCACCTCACCCCAGAAAGAATGGCTGCTATCATGAAATCAACCAATAACAAATACTGGCAGGGTTGTGGGGAAAAAGGAACACTTCTCCATTGTTGGTGGGAGTGCAGACTGGTGCAAGCACTGTGGAAATCAGTATGAAGATGCCTCAAAAAACTAGGATTAGAGGTCCCATTTGACCCAGCTATTCCTCTGCTGGGTCTTCCCAAAAGAACTAAATGAATTATACCATAGTGATACATGCGCACCCATGTTCATAGCGGCATAGTTTGTAACAGCTAAAACTTGGAAACAGCCCAATTGCACATCAGCTGGAGACTAGATAAAGAAAATGTGCTTTTTAAAAATAAAATGGAGTACTACTCAGCCCTAAAGAATGAGAAATTAGAGACATTTATAGCTAAGTGGATGAACATTGAGAACATTCTCTTAAGTGAAATAAATAGGAACACGTGTAAATACTGAATAGTTTCTCTGGTGTGAGAAACTAAAAGTGTAAATAAGGATCAAAACGTATAATTGATAACATGAAATAGGAAGAAAGGTCTAAAAGGGTAGGGGAAGTGGGAGGGGTAGGGAAAAGGAAAGAAGGGAAAGGAAAAAATATGAGAAAAGGAAAAAATGGAAACAAAGTCTGTAAATAGAGAAGGGTGGAGAGGTTGAAGGGAGGGCAGGGAAATAGGAAAAAAAAAAGAACCAAGATACATCATGTAAAGTATAAGTTCCTAATGATGAATGTAACTGTATTGTGTACCTAAAATACACCAATAAACTTAATGAAAAAAAAATGTAACAGGTCTTTTGTCACCCCAATACGCAGCCTGGACTAGCTCAGCTCAAACGTTGTTCCCTCCACTCAGAGCTTACACTTCCACTTTTATTCTAAATTTCTATGATAGTGTCATACAGTCATTTCTTTGCCATGCCAGAGGTGGTGAAGTGTAGTACACAGTCGAAGGGACAACTCATTAAAAACAAGAGTGGTATTGGAAGTTGAGATAAAGCAATATATATTTTATGATCAAAGTACCTTGACAGTAATTCATAAAGCTAAATTGTCTTCTCCAACTTCTTCTAACCTGGTCTGATTTATGGAGAATAACAATGTAAATCTAGCTTTTTCTAAATGACATGTAGCTCCATACAAGCTGAAAATAGCATCTGATTTTTGTAACTTGGGGTCAGTTGACACATTAAAATCTACACTTCTACAAGTAGACTTCTCCCGGTGACTAAAACACTATTCCCTTGTTTTCAAAATATTATTTCAGTTTCAAGCCAAGCATCACTTTCTTCTTTGGCTTCTAATATCTTCCACTGTGCCCCTTGCCTTTATTCTTCTTTTGTTTAAGTCATTTAGCCACTATAGGGAAACTGTGGGACTTCAATGGTAATCTTACACTTCCAACCAGAGATATAAATCTGGGACCACTTGCCAATAGTGTTTTCTAAGGGCAATTGCCTCACCCATAACTCTCTCTCTCATGGGCTAAATTTTTCAGATCCTATAACCAATGACCCTATCTCTCCTTTAGCCACAGCAAAATGGACCAAGCATTGGCATCTGACAAAAGTGCAACCAAATTCATTGACTGGCCAGTAATGGTTGACATTGTAGGTTGGCATGAAGACATGGGTAGAAGAGATTCTTATTTCTGAACATTTTGGTCAAGAGACATAGAGATGCTGAGCTAATTAGTAGAAAGTACACAAATTAAAAAAAAAAAAACACCAGGAGGTAGAATCAAGTCTGGGTCAAGCTAAAGCCAAGTTCAATCCAAAGTTATGACTCGATATCAACTCTTGGTAAGCTAAGGAAACTGATTGATATAGGGAAAGACAACAGGAAAAAGGTGACATGAAGCAGACACAACACAGTATAAGAAAAACTCCTTACTGTTCATGAAAGAGCTAAAAAGAAGCCAGTCCTTCTTGATGGATTACCAATTCCAATTTCTTCATGTCATAATAAATTACCTTTTCATTGTGATAAGTCAAGTGACTCTCAGCTATTTGCAACCAAAAGAGCCTAATTATATGATCATTTTACTTGTGCACCACCACAAAGAACAGAGAAGGAACCCATGCCATAAATGCAGATATGCAAAGTAACACGTAACAGGGAACTGCCATTGAATTTTCCTTGAATAGTAAAAGGCAGGCTTCTCCAGGGACTGCGGGCTTCACTTTCAAACCTCTTTCTTCACTAAGGAGCATTCCATGTACATTCAGTGCAACTCATAATCCCACTTTGCATTCAGATGAATCCTTGAGAAAGAAGATCTCAAAGTAGTGCCCAAGCTTGACTGCCACAGGGCAACCAGTTTTTCTCACTTCTCAGTAAAACTGCAGGAAAAGACAAGGACCTCAAGAAATAGCAATATAATTATCATGCCCTGCAAACAAGTACCAATAAAATTTTTTTAAATAATAGCAAAATATTGGAGTAAAACAACTCAGGTAATGCTTAAATCTTTTTAAAAGTAGGGAATAAAGTGCATGTGTGATTAAAACTATTACTAGGGGAAAAAAGAAATTGCAAGAAGGCTTAAACAGGGAGAACATACTGACAGGGGCAAAAGTTTTAGAAACTAAAAGACTGATCAATTAAGGTTAGAAATTCCCTCGAGTTTTTCACTTAAAATTAGAAAAAATTTGTATTTGCTGCAAAGCCTTATAGGACATGAAACTGGCCACCCAAAGACCTTTCTAGGATTTGTAATTGTTCAATGGTATTAGAAATACTTCTGTTATCACTACAGATAAACTGAATTCTTATGATATGAGAAGGTACCATAGAGTATGCACAATGAGCTAAGACAAAACTGGAAGTGAAAACTAAGACTTTTCTTGTTGCCAGGAAAAAGTATAATGTATTAGCTTTGCAGGAAGAGTTAATGAAGACTGAGCTTTCCCACACAGACTAGGGAAAAAATAACAAGTTTATAAAAGAACATCAGCTCTAATTTCCAGTATCTACATTCAACTCCCTGGGACTTACTTCTCTAGGAGGAACTGGTGCTGCTGGCCAAATACCTTTCTTGGAACAGTAAGGGGAAAGTTCCTCCTTCTTCAGCCCCTTGCTCCTCAGATCTAGCTATGCTGAGATCAGATCAGATCAGAGATTAGCTCCTCCAGGCAGTCTTCCCTCCCCATCCCCAGCTCCCAGGCTAAGTTACATGCTCCTTTCTATTCCCATGGCACCCTGTGCTTACTCTACTGACTAAAATACCCTGTAATATATATATTCTATCATCCGTCTTCCTTGATAGAGTAGGTGTCTCTTAAGGGCAAGGGCCATATTATTTTCAACTCTAAATCCTGGAATCCTTGTGCATAAGTGCTCAATAAATGCATCCTTCTCAGAATATGACTGATTATATAATATATAGCTTCTTTTGCCCATACTCCCCAATGGGGAAGCCTTCTGAAGAGACTTCCACAGCAGAGTTGGGATATCATCTTAGATAACTCATATAGTCATAGAACCTTAGCAGAAAAGGTCTTTGGACATTACCAGTTCCAATTCCTCCCTGTTACAGATATGGATGTTGAAAGTCTGAGAGGACAAGTGATTACCGAAGACGTATATCCGGTTACTGGCAACACCATCTCACTGATCGGAGATCATCAAGCCTTATAGGTTCTCTTTACCTAGAGATGGTTATCTAGAAATGGTTACCTTTCAGCAAGAATATTTTGCCTTGAATGCACTAGGAATTTCACAGGCACTGGGTCTGCATGGCCACCATAAAATGATGACTTAAGAAAATGGATTCTTGGGCTGGGGATTTAGCTCAGTGGTTTTGCCGCCTGCTACGCAAGCGCAAAGACCAGAGTTCGATCTCCGGTACCAAAAGAAAAAACAAAACAAAACAAAGAAAATGGATTCTGGACTCTGCTTAGGCCTAAGTTCAAATTCCAGTTCTACCACCTAGAGGCTATTGATTTCAGGCAAGTTACTTGAACTTTCTGAGTCTCATTTACCTTATTTTAAAAATGGAAATAATAATAGTATTCTTACACAACTGTTCCAACACTCAATGAGATTAATACACATAAGATGACTGGTACATAGAATGCATTCAACAAAGATGTATTATTATTAAATAGTTGCCTCTCCCTGTGGCTTCTCTCACAGTTTCTGCCTATATTCCCTGGGATGATTTCCTCCTCACTTCTTTTTCTTCATAACAAACAGCTAAAAAGCCAAAAACTGAGCAGGGCTCAATTCAAACTCTGCCTTTCTGAAGTTGTTATCTTGCAGTTTTGCAGAAGTACCTGGCCAGAGACCAAGAGTCTCAATGTGCATCCTTCCCCAGTTTATATAGCTCCATACTCTGCCCAAATTGACCTCTCAATCCCATATACCCTCATCTTGTCTTTTAGACAGGTGAGCAAATTAGGTTGTAAACTTACTTCATGGACATATTTGACTTGCACCTGCCAGCTGATTCCATTATATTTGACCATATCTGGAGAAAGATGCCCTGTTGGATGCATTAAAAATAGAAATGAAGTCACGGAGTAACTCATCCTATAGTATATATTATATATAGTACACAACTTCAGCATTTGTGGCAACCTCAAAACCTGTACAAAGCCTAAATTGCAAAATCTGAGACTGAAGTTAGAGCCCTTCTTTCAGCTATATGTCAGCTGACCTTAACCTTCTTCCCCTGCTCCCA